GAAAATTGCATTACCTGCAATGAAAAGACCCCTCATTGTTTTAGAGAGAGCAAGAGGCCCTTTGACTGCTGCCTGAGCAGTGCCTATCCCCATTTCTGGGACATCTGAGGCTACTCTGGGTACATTACGTAATGTTTTTCCTTCTTGAGCCAAAACTTTACCAGCACTTGAGATGATCTGCTCTTCCCTTTGTAACATCTTAACAGCAGAAGCAGCATCAACAAAGGAATCAATACCCTTTCCAAAAGTACCTGCTTTAGCTGCAATCTTGCTTACCCCTATGGCCACTTCTGACTTACTTACTTTTACATTGCAGACTGGTTGACTGGCCACACCCTCCAGACAATCATGGAAACTTTGTACACCCTTCATGAAATTTTGCAAAATTTCATTGGCTCTCTTTTTTTGAGTAGCTTTAACTCCAATTTCTGTTCCAGTGGTCACAGCACTGTTGACTGCACTGGTGACTCCCAGCCCAGCCCCAGTAATTGTCAAAGCTAGAGACACTCCTGCTGTTACAGGAGCTAAGGCCAAACCAGCAATGGACAGCGCACCTCCAACTGCCCCCACCGAGCTGCCTGCCACACTGGAAATTTTTGCCCCCTTATTCATCTTTTCTAGCTGGACAGCACACCCTTGCAGCTCATTTAGAAACTCCAGCATTTCGGACTTTCGCTTTTTGAACTCCTCAATGAATCTGGAACAGCAAACTTCCCGGAACAAGAACACCATTCGTAGGTTTGGGTCCATCCTGATGATGACAAAATTAAAGTTATATTAATGTTTTGAATAAGAATAGATCAGATCTGTACACTTAGGTTAATCTCACCTGATTTCATCAAGTTGATTAACTTCATCAGGCAGATGTTGGAACATTTTCTGGTCATCCACAATTTTCATCCTAAAGTGAGATTTCCTGATGAAGCTGTGGAAAATAAATTACATTTCCCATCATGAATGTTTTTATTTCTGTCAATCTTATTAAAGAAAAAATGTGTTTTAAATGTCAGTTTACCTTTTCCCCAAGCACTCACAGAATTTCTCTGCAGTCTGTATGTATCTGTCCAGCTGATAGGCCAGCACTTCCACATTTTGAAGTTTGGGAATGAAAAAGACTTTTGCCTCTGTTTTAAACACCAGAAGCAGAGGGCAGAATAGGCGGGCAGCAGCAATGAAAATCTGAACATATTCAAGGTTGATTTCTTCAGGCAGGTGTAACAGCTGCTTCTCTGTGAAAACTTGCAGTGAGGTCACAGCTAGCCTCGCCACTGCATCTAGGAAGCAGCTGAGATTCTCCAGGCTTTCAAGAGTCTTTGTTATCACTTTTTCCAGTTCCTTCTCCAGCTCTCCGTACCTGCTGTTTTCTGTCATCTTGGGTAGTTTACTGTTCATAAACTCAAGAAAAGCTTTACCTTTCTCTTCTGATTGTGTGACATGGCTGAAGGTCATGTTGAGTTTGTCAGCCCTGTTTTTGATATCTAGCATAGTTTTAATTTCTTCCTCCCTTTCATTCTTCCATTCAGAGAACCCCTCACAGAATTTGTAGACTTTTTCAACCAAGGTGAGGGTGTCTTTGGAGTAGCATAAGGCCTTATTTCTGTGTGACAAAACAATATTGTGTGTAGATTATTGTACTTAGCTGTTTGTGTTGATGTTATAGTGGAA